TTGGGCATGATTTTGAGGTGCCTTTCTGGAACGTCTGACTTTCGCAGGGATGACAGAAAGTTTGCCCATCTGAACCATCATTTTTAGTCTACTTTGTGTTGCCGACTGTGATGAATACAACTCTCTTGATGGATATAGGAAAGTGGAGTTCACGATCAGTCAAAAAGCACTTACCACAATAGTGCAGCTGTTCCAAATAGGTAATCATAGTTTGACGAATATTGAGGCAGATGTCAGGGTTCCCAACAAAGCAAGCTATACGAATACGCCTTTTTTCTAATTGATGAACCGGTGTAGGTGGTTGATGGAATTCATTCATCCGCCATCACGCCCCCATTTTCACAGGGGAGCTGGAAAAGAAAGCAGGACGCTTGGATTGTCATATACTTAGACTTATCCCATAAATAGCGAATATCGCTATTACCACAACTTTCCGATTTTTCATTTTTGGGACCTATGAGGAGCTCATGAAAGGCTTCGTGAGATTTTGATAGCAAATATAATCTTGATTTACGTGCAATGCGACAGTGTCTTCCACTGTTTGTTCCAGTAGTACTCCCCCTTGGACTAAGGTGTAACGTTATTTATAATATAATCCCCGTTGACTTACACAGTCCCTACATGCATGTGATGCGAGTTTTGTTGATACAAATCAGTGATACATAATGCGTCATTCAGCCACTACGTGTAACTGTGCGGCCGCAAATGAGTTATTAATCGTGCAGGTTCAATTTGTATGGGACAAACCAACAAGAGACCGTTTACAATGTTGTGCCGATAGCATCAGCCCTTACTAGCCACTAGGGCAAGTTGGGATTCATTCTCACAGGATAACTGTAGTGTTCATACTCATGTGCATCCATACATGTGTGAGTTTATAGTGGTTAAAGGTCCTACGGAGTCTCTAGTGAACAGAGCAAATTACTAATGTAAGCCAGATACAAAGTCACAAGGAGAAAAATCCAAGTAAATCGTGACTCAGTTCAAAATAGGAGATTCCGTAGTTCCGTATTCCGTTGAACCACCACACCAAGAATAGTTCTATCTTCCTGGTATTCCAGATCTCCGGTGATCGAAATGTTAATCCACAAGTAAGAATGTATTAGTCCAGTGTTTGTAGCTGAAAAGTTGGTTCGCGTTTAGTGTTAGCAGCGGTCAAATATAGCCAGCCGGCGGTCACAACAACAGTCACTCAGCAAAAGTCTCAAAGTCACGTCGGAGCCAACGAGCGGGCGGTAGCGGTTTTATTTCAGTAAAACAAACTTTTGTACAGCGATGTGACTGATAATGATGGGGAAAAAGAAGATGATACCGAGCATGAAAAAAACAATTTACACGTGCTACAGGTTCTGTTTAATTGGCCGCTCCTAGGAAGCTCACAATAAGCCGAAATAGCGCTTATTGTCAGTCCATCTTGTGTAACACTAGACCCCATTCTGGGCGTCAAAATGGTTTTCGTGGTTTTCGTTTCCACTGGTAGGCCACTTTGACATCCTTACCATCATAGTGGGCACCTCCATGAAAGGAGATCCTTCAGTAGCCAAATAGGACTGAAATAATAACGCCGACATTGCCCATAGATTTCGGTATCTAAAGCACTCCAAAAACTTGGTCAAGTATTTATATGACTGCAATTGTTATAAATCCTTCCAGGAGCTTCTGATGGGAAATGACGATCATGCTACAGAGATAAACCACCTTGAAATGTACGTCGAGTTCACGAGCATTTTACCACTCATTCTTTAAGATGTCTGATGCGTCTTGCGCTACTCGACCTTGGATTCCACGCAGTCACGACTGGTTTTTAGCCCCATTAATGGCGAATTAAGTTGCTAATTCACACAGTTTAGTTTAGCACCCACTCGTAACAAACTTCCTCAACTTGCATCTAGTCATGAATATTACAGTATTTCCCAAAGGTTCTATAGCAAGTACGTTGAACTTCTCAATGACTAACAACTCCTTCGGCATCACATCTATGTGCAAACAATGTGATCCACACCGGACACCTATGACATCTGGTTTTATCAATCCGGCCACCGTTATTTAACTCCCCGTCCGCCTCATTTACACCCAAACCCTTTAAGCTCTTTAACCCTTCACTCGACGGTTCAAAGGATTCCGTATAGCAGCTGTTTATAATTTTTTCAAAAATTTCTGTGCCACTGCTGACAACTGCCTGAATGCTCTCTGTAATTTCATTGTCGAATGTTTAGTGTCATTATGGGAACTCCGGTAACCGTTCTACTTTGAAGATTCTTTTGTTTAAACGGACATTATAGTCACTGTTTTTACAACTATATTATCACAATAGTGGGGTCTCAATAATCCTTACTTCTGGATCTCATTTTGTTCAACAATCAGTCAGTGGCTGTAGCACTTGAATAAGAAGCGTCACCAGGCGGTTTAAATAATTATATCTTTGCTTCCAAATTCATCACTTACACAAATATTCAGCTTTCCGCACCACAGTACATATGATAATTAGGAGTTACCAAGGTTAAATTAAGAGTGGAGCTGGGAAACGGCCTAATAAACCACAGGTAAGTTCATATCGCTACCCAAAAATTCTTAATAAGGCCTTAGTACTGAGTCACAGACTTCTCAAAAACTACAAGATCGCCATAATCCTGCAAAGGAGGGGAACTAGCAGATTTTGCGGGTGTTTAAATATATAAGAGTTCATTGATTACCAAGCAAACATTTCAACCGTCTTAAAAATTAGGCAATCCATCCCTTTGCATATATTTAGGAGTGGCTTTAGACTAAATAAAGTATCCGGTAGGCAATGCTAACATTATATATCTATCTCTGTTAACTCTCTTTCTGTTTAACCATCCAAACCCAAATATGTTTGCACGGAAGACGATTCAAGAGATCGACAATTACATAACTAAAAACTATCTTTATGGTGGCGTCACTAGCAATGAAACTTTTAAGCCGAGAGCCGTATTTTTTTAAGTAGATGACTTGGTACGGTCGATGGCCGTGTATCGTCAGAATCAACTTAAAACTCTGAGCGCTTTTAAACAGTGAAAACTCAGATAGCTGCTATGAATTACAAAATTACTGAAAGAGCTGAAAGTTCAGATTCTGGGTAAGGTACATTACTTCCCAACCTGTCGAAAACCACGAAGTAAGTCATCGCCCAGCACACTTTAAAGCTGAATCCTGCCACAGTGTGTCGGGCACAACGCTCTCATCCGACAAACTTTGTACTATTAAAAAGCCACGGACTATTGAATTCGACAAATAATCTTAATTTGTTTTTATTAGTTTCTAAATTTCACAGGAGCTTGATTGCGCTCGAATAATTCCTCAGTGCTTGGCGTATAAAATGCATAGTTTGTCAGACAAAGATTTTTCGTCATTTACAAAAACAAGACTGGCAAAATTCGATTTCAGCAAGCGCTCGGTACCCCTTTACTCAGCCCCAGTATGTCTTTATAAAGCTTGGTGATGGGACGTTATCTCTGTTTAAACTTTAGTAACTACCTACTTGCTCCATTATCACCATTGTACCAGTTCAATTTGCGGGACTAACCATACACTTTTGAGCACGGGACTTAACAAATAAACCTAGGTTTAGTTTTCCACTGGACACACCTGAAAGTCCATTACTGTTCATTGGTGTATCATTTATTTGTTACCCAAAACCCATGTTTTTAATTCACAAACACTTTGACATTCAGACCACAAGAGAGTATTAATTTGTCGTGCAGGAGAACCATAGCTTCACCGCTAGGTGCCAGACCTAGAGAATCTGATAAATCCACGTCTTTTATCTGCTTGCATCACAAATTTGGTGCACAAGCCTCTCTTGTGTTAAAAGTGCATATCCACTAAGTTGCGGTTTTAAGTGCTAGCCTCCTAAAATAGTGTCAGAATTTACAAGGTGGCTTTTGAAAATTGGTGCATCAAAGTGCATTTCCAGTCCACAATAAAAACGTTTCTTCCGAAGCGTAACCAATATTGCCATTGCAGTGGTTTTAGAGCTGAACAACTTTGACCAAATCAGTATATATTTGTTTACCCTATTGTTCATGTGGACGCCTAAACATTTGACCCTCATGTTCAGGGTCGTCTACTTGGAGATTTATCCCGGGTATAAGTTTGTTTTTGCAGAACGTAATTTTTCCGGCAGCTGACCACCTTTAATCTGTTACAATTGATTCACAGATTACCATCACCCAGTAGGTGTAAAACCGGCTTCTCTGACAAACTGGGACATTTGAAAGATGAACACTTGTGAAATTGATATATGTATTCAAAATTCATTCTCCTTTTTCCGGTATTTCCGTCATAGAATAATAATTTGTCACACCAAACAAACTGATACATCTGGAATGTGAAAACAATTTTTCGCCATGTTGAATGTTCAGGTAGTTGTCTTCAATATAATCAGTCAATGCTGCAACTGATACTATCAAGCCTCTAATCAAGTTTGTGCATTTTGCTATTTCGTAAGAACCGATGTCAAACTAACCGACATTCCATAAGGATAAAACCAGTTTGATTGCGTCATGCGTGGTTGTACCAAGTAAACCTACGTTTATTTTTAAGTGGTCGAATGACAATATGGAGCCTCACCCACTTGCAAACGGTCAAGTGAATTGCGGTAGATGTTACAACTTAGATGTAGATTGACGTCCTGCGTTCAGTACGTGTTTGTGTCTGTTTGTCAGGTCTACATGTATCCAGAACCTCATTATATGCATACTGGACCCTTGTGTTTTGCGAATTTAATTTAGTTCAATGTCATCAATCCTTAATAACAATACAGGGAAACAACATGGCCTTTCTTTGGTTTTTGAGTTTTTGAAGCAAGATTTGGGCTTTCTTACCTGATTATCTTCTACGACAATTAGGTTCAAAAATTGATTGAATGCCAGGCCTTCTCTTTTCTGGATGCTGCTCTGCTATGAAGTGGATGAGATCTTTGAGAAACTTTTTTATTTTTCAGAAAAATCTGTTCTCAGTACATCGTAATTCAGCTAAAAATGTGGGCGACTTCTGTCGGCTGGGAAGCACTTCGATCTTATACACTAGACATTATTGACCAGACTCTATCTACCACGTTAGTGCCGGAAGTTATACTGCAAGCACTAACAGAAGTGAGGTCAGAAGTGTCCGCCGGAAAAGCGGCCCCTGCTGGGGTGAGTTGAAAATGCCAGATGTCCTCCAAACTGTTAAATTTAGCTCTTCATTCATTCACACTACCATTTAAAGGGAAGAAAAATTTATTATTTTCTGTGACCTGCCATTCGCGGTTCTGTTGAACAGGTTTACTCAAGAATTATTTACCGGAGGAAGTTTTTCTTACTTCCAGTCTTTTTAATCGGATTCTCCCAAAAGGGTGTGCTTGATCAAAAAGCCTTAAACCTTCCTGGTTGATTTTTTCACAAACTTTTTCCCAATTTTAAACGTTGGAGGTCAAGAGTGAGTTTTTTCTTATCCAATTAGTTTATCAATGCAAGAGGGTAATCCAACAGACAAGACGTCGACTTGGTTCACAGCGTCTTTCCTCTCATTATCTGTTTTCATGCTTTTCGGAATTTATCCAGATAGACCTGATAATTTTTCATTGGTGGACTCCTTTCTCTCTGATCGTAAACGTCCCCAATAGTTCTGCCCATCTCGGTGTCTCAGAGTTTTGTGTAATGATGTCACAAGATTCTATTAATTTTAATTAAGAAATTAAAAATTCACTGGCCCGGTGCAATGGCAATTGAGATAGAATTTCAGAACAAACTCAATTATTCTCTATGAAAGCAAGCGTGGACATATGACCGTGGGTGTTAAAAAATATAGGATAATTTTTTCGGCTTGCTGGACAAAGTAATGCGTGAATAGATGCTTTGGGGAGTGGTTTTACAAACACCTCCACTAGAGTCCTGTACCCTGTGGGCGTTGGAAATGAGGGAAATCCATGAAGATATCTGGAGGATGGGCGAAGGATGGGTCGCACATTATCGTTTTCTGCCATGCACGGTAATTAAATCAAGCTGATCTATGTTGAAATAGACACGGAAGCACTCTTCTGGGTTAATGTGCTGCTATGGCACTCGGTCGTAGATAACAGGATGAGTGCGGTCATCGTCACCGACCAGAAGGCGTTGGTGTTTGAATTGAGACTATCACAATTGTAATTGGCGTGTTTACCGATGTTGGTTCTAGACTGCAAACGTTACGTCATGACAGGTTCACTTTAATCCCTAAACAACTCACGGTAAGAAACACGGATGTGCGCAGTCTTACTGATACAGATCTTGATACATTGTTAATACTCAATAGTTTTCTTCAACTGGTACTGTACTGTTTACCCACCATCGATCAATTATTAAGGTCAACAAGTTGAGTTATCCTAAACTTTTCGTTTAGCTTCCACTTTGGGAGGAGCAACGTGCGGATCTGGTGCGCCAACTGGAGGATGTATTACAGTCGCAAGGTTTCCAACAGTGCCTTTCAGACGACGTTTTCTGTGTGAAAAGAGAGTTACCACCAAAACGCTTTTCACTCCTAAACGGGCCTTCCTGGGAGCGCAGGTTTGCCGATCAAGCCATCTCGAATGCAATTGCTTTTGATATCTTCGACATGCTACTCGGAGAATTGATTCACTTTTACACGCCCCAAGCAGTGAGTCTATAGCAATCACCTGTCCCCACTCAGCAGCTTGTATTGGGAATAAAAAAACAGGAACCCTAAAACCTGCTGTTATATAGAATCGTTGGGTGATTACAGATCAGGTCAAACTGAAGTCAAACACGATTGTGATCTTAGACATTTCATCTTAGGTTAACGGCAGTTTGGTTTATCAAATACCTATATTGGGAGGATGCCGTGGGATATACTGGGTCAAACAAGATCCTGTAATCTTCCATTAGGTTGCCTATTATGAGAAATAACAAAACGTACTATGTTGTTTGGGATCTCAGTTTTACTACTTTGGTTTGGATGGCGTGATACACCTTATCGAGCTGTGATCACCTGCACGAACCCAACACGGTACACCGAAACTCCGAAATATTTGACAGCCAAAGAATGACTTTTGTGTTTCCCATCAAAAATTCAGGTCATTTGGGCGGGTTCTACTAACTTCATCAAAGTTGTGAGCGTCTGAGCCGGGACCATTATCCAAATTATGCCGTTAGTCATCGCAAACGTCGCGCAAGATGCATACCAAAGAGCTAAGTTGTATTGTTCAGACATCTGGTGAATGAGTTTAGGAATACGTATGAAGAATAATAAAAGAACGCTTGATACAATACACTACTCATGAGGTTGGTGAAAAAACGCTTCTATAGCCCACGATCGCTTTAGCTGAATCTGATGAGCCTCAAGAATGGGTAAAATGACCGTGGGTTGCCAAAGAGTTTTCAACAACTTTATTAGCATTGCGCTACATCCAGAAAATATATCGCGATATCTCCAATATCGTATTTGAGGCGGTTGCAATTTCACAGTTTTTATGCTGAACAGGATAAGGTTTGGCTATACGGTGAGCTCTAGACTTAGCTGGAGGATAATTTATCAACCAGAGGGGTTTGAGGTGTATAATGCAAGATATTGAATTAAAATACGAAAATCTATGTTGACTTCTTGAGCAACCTGATCTAAAGAGGAACATTCAAACAGACCTTAAACAGAGTGAAAAAGCACGGGCCCACAATCCTTCCAGCTAGCAAACCCAACCCAGCATCTTCAAACGATTTCCACCTACTTAAATGTACATCTTACATAATTATATACCAACTATTATACATTACCATATTATGCATATAGTGTGGATCTTTCTATACATTTACCATGTCTCACAGTTTTGATGTACCTTAATTGTTTCCTGTATCCACAACCCTTAGACATAAGGCTACCCAGGCAGTTGTCTATATATGAAACCGTTTCAAGTGTTGCATACAACCTCCTAATCAGTAGTACAACAGGCCGCTAGTTCTTAATCTGATGTGTTCCAGTTGGGGAGTGGGTGCCGGTTGCGGGTTTCAGGTGTCAACTTTGAGGTACGAGTTGATACCCGAAGAGTCATCGCTGTCAAACTGAAAACGTGTAATAATTGTTTAGCAACACCTTGTTAGAAGTGACGGACGCGCAATCTACCCAGATTTTCATGATGGATTTCAGTTGATTTTCGTTCCTTGTACTGTCATTGGTCATCAGTGGCTTTGCTTGATCCACGAAAACAACAACCATAGTAGACATACATACGGTCAACACTTTATCAGGCATGCGGGTCTATCGCACATTAACTTGGCGTACTTCCACGTGTAATCGCTTTATTGTTTTGTCATTGCCTGTCTATGGGTCAAGAAAGCACCATTTTCGTGCTGTCACAAGGAGGAATGAAGCCTAATTTGTTTGTAGGACAACAAAGCTCTCCAAACGAAGTTTTGATGCAGAAGATCATAAGAGTGCAAAATCGCTGGCATGTCTACTAACCCAGCACTGAGAAGTCATCACCAAGTCGTGCCTAGAGAAATTATACATTGACAGATTCTACTTTTCCAAAGCACAGAACATTGGATCTCCATCATGGGTTCTCATGCTGTGAATGAAAAAGCGAAGTGAGTAGATAAAAAGAAAATCATCAAGCTGAATTTGATTCGACAGGATTTTACCCTGATGCGTTTGTGGTTGTCTGTTACTTAGATAAAGTATGTTGTAAATCATTTACCAAGCACAAAATCTAATTTTACGGGACTTGATGTCGATTGACTACTGCTTGTCAACCCAGTGAATGATAGGCTTCTGAATATATTTGCAAGACACTAAGTATGAAAAACTCTAGGCAGTAACCAGGCTTATGATATCAGTGCATTCTCCAGGGAGCTCCTCTCATTAGTGTCTTGACTACTGTGTAGTGAAATACGTTATTTGCGTCCGTTATTAAGCAAGTACGTCTGCGATCTTCCGAAAACAAAATTATACGTACCATGGAGGCCAAACAAGTAATTATCGAAAAGTAACCTCATAATATAAGAATTTTATTTCTATCCGCAGACCCAGATCACGCTTGCTTTGATTTCTGTATTTAAGGTTCGATATGTTGTTGCTGAAGATTACATTTTCCATTCCTTGCTGGATGAGATAATTCCGGAGATAACACTGAGTGTTTCAAGGAATCATATGGCTCTGGTGGAAGAAAAACAACGGGAAATGCGTGTAAAATGTGTAAGTATTCGTATTTCTATTAATCTTTTTCTGAAATTGCTGTATTTATGAATATATATAATCACTGCTGTGCTGAACTAAATAGGCCATTGTAAACTAATCAATAGCACTGGCGTTCTGCCTTATAGTTTTTATTCGAACTCTTCGACTAAGTACTGAGAGTGAACCATTTGCACTGGGCAATTGCTAACCCCTGTTCACTCAACTTTACAGCTTCACCTTCTGGAAATCGTTAACATTGATGTTCCGAAGTAAAGTAGCATTCAAAAATCCTGAAGCTGCCGGAAGAGATGAGGCTGTCAATTTCGTCTGAATAAAGCAACCACACTCAATATCAAAGCAAACTCAAATGGTAGGCAAGAAAACCTGGAGTAGACCTTATTCGAGGTTCTTGCTCTAGCTTTGAGAACCAAACGTCCAACACCATGATCTTTCATGGTTGGCAGGCTTGGGAAAAAATAAATACCTTTGCAAGATGTTGCGATTCGCAGCCGCAAATATTGTCCGTATGGTTTCTAGGCTGTCTAAAGATTGTTTGACAACAAAAAACACAATTGCAGTCCTACGAAGCATTGTACCAAAGTCCGGAATAAGCCAAAATTCGCGCTTGCGAGCTGTATCCATGGCTCCATTAGGAGCCAAGCCAGTCCTTGACTTCAGGACCTGCACTTCAGGCCACGTATAAAATTAATGCAGCATTATTTACGCAACAAGATGTTGTAGTTTTATATGATCAGAGAGTCTCGTGCTAAGTATTTGTGGAACGCGACACATCTGCTTAGCTGGTTATTCATCTCATTTTGGCTTCAAATGTAACCCAACACCTGAGCTGAACCTGATGTTTCAGAAGACTTATCTGAAGATTTATCACACAGCAACCACCTTAGACAAAAACGAATCTACTAAAAATTGATGTAATATGGTTCCAAAACTGGGATCCCCATTTCATCCTAACTGGAGTTCAGTAACTGTATATAACAGGGTGAAATGCCTGATGTTCGAAACTGTTTGTATATCAGAGATGAGGAACATTCCATTTATATCCCTGCAATCCAGAGTAGATTTGCACCCATGAAGTCCCTAATATTTCAGCAAGCGCTGGTGCTCAGTATTGTTCCTATGTTCACTTTTAGATTGAAAAGCACGTCTCCGATAAGCCAGCAAATGTACTCGGTTCGATTGCCCTGGATGTCTTGCTACCGTGGGCATGTGGACACCAAACCGGATCAGTAGCTCACGACAAACTCGAGGAATATCTAGTTGAAGGTTTGCATATTCAAATCTACTTGATTGAAGTCCGCATGTTGTTATCGTGGGTAACTACATAACAGTTTATTGCGACGTGCCCCGTGAGGAGATCAGTCATCTCTACTAGTTTCACGAATCGAAACCGCTGAGGTCTGTACCGCAGGTTCACCTCCAGTCTAGATGGCGACTGTCGAAACCGCTTTTAGGCACGAACGTTCCACGCTGATTCTCATTTCTGTGACAACTCAGGCGATAACTTTACCTATAGTAGGATGTGAGGGTAGGTGTGGGTCACTAATGTACTACCTTGGAGTTGTAGAATATAACCGAAAGGTTGAGACTAACTTTGTCAAATGAAGTTCAAATTGCTCTGAGTAGCGATATTCGGATAACCTAATGTATTTTATCCATGTATTTAGAACTTACCATACCGATTCTTATTCGGGACCTATTACAGTACTATTATTTTTTTATCAGCGAATATCAATAACCCCTCCTTTATTTAGCTTTGGGGTAGTATTGACACCCACTCTTTTAAAATACAGGCCACCCGGATAATAACGGAGTTTCCAAACTTTCGCATTACAATATATAAAAAGATATGTTTTTCTTTACCAAGTTCCTGCACCAGAAAATCCAAAAAAAACCGTCCCCCGAAATGATAGTTTCATCTAGTGTTTCTTTTGATTTAAACTAAGCTAGACAAGTTTATAAATGTGTTTATTTGACAAAAGCACATACAACCTTTGCCAAATGCATAAAAAGACAACTATGAGTTCTTAAAATTGTAAGATTTGAGTGGGTTCGCACGTAGTGATCAAGTTTGGGAGAGGGTCGATTTTTGGAAAGTTCGGAGTAAGTTGAATAACACCTGAATTGCAGGAAAGACAAGATCTGATTTACCTCGTTAATTTTTGACAAGTGAACTGCCAGATTGTCCAGTTCGTAATACAGAGGCAAAACGTTTGAAAACAAGATAGGAGAATCATTCAAAATAATGTGAATTCTACGATTCAGTCTTGATAAAGTCGATAGCATTCTAGAAGACGAGGGTTAATTTTTTCACAAGGTGAGAGGTTTGAACAGGAACCATCTTTAACGACAGTGTGGGGGTTTTGAGTGACATCTCATTTTGCACAGCTAAACGATATTTTACTTATGTTCAACGAGGCGCAGTGCTGATGCCCGCCGGTTACACATGGGCTATTAGGTTTTAAGAACATGTCATTAAAAACTTCATACTAGGAGATTAGAAGAGATTTGTACTATAATCTTATTTCTATCAAAATACAAGCTGGATTTCTATTCCAGGTAAAAATACTTCGTTATTTGAATAAAATGCGTTTAGCAAAGTTTTGTGGATGCAGAATTGTCGGGCTAGACAAGTCTGTGATTCGGCTCCTGCTCGGTTACTTCAAAGGTGCAGTCGATGCCCATCTACTTTGTAGATAGTTTTCGAGTGTCACGGAAAGATGTATATTTTTTACCTAACATAGGAGTCAGCGAGGGGACTTTGCACCCAGATTGGATATTTAACTTGCGAGCGACTCCAATGCACGGCTGCCCCAAAGTTTAGTATTTTTTCATGAAGTGTGTTCATTTTATCAAACACCATTTACTTTACTCTGTTTATGCTTCTAGTTGCCCAGGTATATATGACTAGGGCTCATACACACTCTTAACGTGGAAATTAGGTGTGTTTTGTTCCTGGGGTTTAATAATGTCGCCTTTGAGCAGAAGAGATCCACATATTTTCGAGGCAAACCATTTGTTCGAAATATCTGTTATTAAGCGGTCAGTGACAATTAAAATACAGTTCCAATCCCAAGAATATATCCAAGTTACATTGTTGCATAGGTCATAAAAAGTGACGAAAATCTGGACAGGATTTTACGTCCAATCTTCTCCTCTTCCAGCACTTGCATTGGATTCCTTGTTTCAGTGCCTAGTCGCTATTGACAGAAACATAGAAAGACACACCGAATGTCCTGTTCTGAGTGAGTATCACGCAGCAGTAAACGCCGATTTGGTGAGTGAATTTAACTTCGGTCCAAGGTCACCGTCCTGTATCTTTAATCCATTTAGTGGAATTCGTGTTTTCAAAACTATATTCAGATTTCAGCAAACACTTTGGTCTCACGCACTTAAGAACGTTACAAGTCGCTGTGGTAATAAATTTTCCAACACCAGTACTAGGAGAAAACAGTGTTCCAGGGTGACACGAGTGAATAAACTGCAGAATTCTGACCGTTTATCTTCATACGGAATAAGTAATTTATACCAGTGTATATAGGGGACAGGATCATACTTTGGTTTGAGACACAAGGCAAACTTAGGAAACCTTAATGCTGTAGTGAACATAAATAAATCCCAGGAACAGGAACAGGTATTTGAGACAGAAAACAAGCTTATGTGAATGTTATTCCGGCTAAAAAACTTATTCTTTACCATATGCATGTAAACAAATAAAACCTGGAATTTCCTCTGGCATCTGCATGCACAGCTTACCAAAATTTCGTGTGAGGGAAAAATACGATGAAAGTACCGCCCACTTGTCGTCAATAAAAACTGGAAGGTAATATGGAGAAGCAAAGGATCTTTATCAATCTCATGCCACATTAACGTTTTCCACCTCCAATGGGATTTATATGTGTGTTATAGTACTTCATATCAGATATTTAGCAGTTGCGTGCACATGGCAATGAAAACGTGATTGAGTGACTAATTGAAGCACAATACAGTTGAGGTCAATTAGAGGTAGAAGCGCGAGATCTTACAAAACTTCATGTGGGTATAAAGGTTTACGTGAACCATTAAGTCCACTCCGGATAGAGAAGCCTCTGAGGAACAATTCGCAACAAAACGCCAACAAACTAAAGATTCAGATGCGGTAAGAAAGATGGAAAAAACCTCTTATCCTTGAGGGTCGAGAAAATATCATTTCATGCCTACCATATTCAGGAACAAACAAACGCCTACATTACAATAATTCTCAGAGTTTGTCATGAAGAGGAGGTTCATACAGATAACACAGGTAAAAAAAATGTCTAGGTATGGATATTTCTGGTAAAATCCGGTTTGAAATACATACCATCCACTGCACTTGTACGCAGCCAACCATCTTCCGTATGTCATGAAGAACCTTAAGAATTACAGTTGAAACTGACAAAGAAAAAAGAGTGATTTTAAGTTATTGCATTTAATCGGATTTCTTTTTTTCGGACCAGTGTAATAATTTGTCTGGAAAAACCACAAAAGAATGCAAACGTTTTTAGAGCGTTGTCTAGAGCTCTTAAAAACAATTATCAGCCTCATTTATTTCGGAGTCAGAATCGTCTGAAAAAAAGACGGAAGTGCCCGATTGTGCCAATGTTTGGTTCTACATACAGACGTACACACCAGGAATAGCGTACTGGGTATATACCTAAGCTTTTTTCAAAGATAAACTGCCGAAAGAATGCACTCTACAGTATGAGATTTATCGAAGAATAATACGGGCAGTTTTGAAGCAAACCGATCCAACCTCTCTTCTCCATTATAGTTTCTTGGAAGTCAACTTCTATCATGAAGGATCTAATGAAAACCAGCATTGATATTATTAAACTCGAAACCCTAATACAATTCACGAAGCAGTCAACATACTCGAAGGATATACAAATTATTGGTAGAAAAAAAATTTCACAAAATTATTGTCAGAAGGACTAAAGTGACTTGAACAGAACCTGGATCGCAGCTGCATTTTACAACATTTGTTTGATACGAGAGAAGAGAAACCTGTTACCAGTTATCTAATTACGATCGTCTGATTTTTCACATTTTGCAGCACCAGCGGCTATGTTCGTGGGCTGGTTTTATTTGGCTCATGACCAGAACAAGGAATATAGGGGCCTTATTTCCAAGTCTGACGTGGAGAATATTCAGTAAATCCCTAACTTTTAACTCGTCCTAAAGTGATTGTTACCATAGCAGTATTCGCAAAACACTTGGTGCCCAAAGTTTTCACTTACGAGGGTGCGAAAGTTCAAAAACTGGGCGAATAGGAGGAAAAAATAACGTGAAGGTGAAGATTTGCACTTTTTTCATGAGGTTCCAGCCAAATTATCCCCTCTGATTCTTTGAGTGACTAATGTGACTCAAGCGCCCCGTTGGTTATTTAGTTTAATGTTTTCTCAACAGTTTTTCAAGGAGACTCTTGAACTCTTGTCCGAGCATACAGAAGCAGATTTGGCTGAATTGGATTCGACGGAGGTCTTTGAACGAATTTTTCAGGAAAAGTAAGTCTTCTAGCTTGGAATTCAGCTTATGCTGGGGCAGCGGATTTAAGCAATTTCGGAGCAAGTTTAGTGCATTGCAGGTGGCGTATTTGCTATATTCGAACCTGCCGCTGGTGTTATTTTTGTATTTCATCTGATGAGCCTACTTAGATAAATTTTTCTCAGTACGGAACAGATATCGTCTTTTGTTCTGACGAGCTATTTTTACCACAAACCTGATAATAGCGGTGTCTGCTAGCAGAGTGGTGTTAATTTATTTATAAAATTTTGGTTCTGTGCCCGTTTAAAACCATTCAGTAATGTCTCACTACCACTGAGGTTTTTACCCACAGTCGATTGGTGGTTACTGTAGGCTAGTATTTGATTGCCACAGGGAAACATATGATTTTGCATAAGGTTTGCCTATCTTTTATCAGTGGAAAGGTTGAAATCCTGAAAGATTAAGGATGGGATTCCGATCTGGGAGTTTCGTCTCATGAGGGTGGATTATGTGGAGAAAAATACTATCCTGCATGCCAGCAAGCAAGCCGAGGTCTTACAGCAACAGCGTTAACCAAGCTGCATGTACAGACATTTCAATATGGCAGATACCTACGGATGATTTCGAAAGTACTGTTGAGTCTACTACCTAATGGTGTATACAGCGTGAACGCGCAAATGATGTATGAATTAGTGAAACCTCACAAGGAAAACTTTTGATTGGTAGTTAAAAAATCAAAAAGAATATTCTTTTGGCTATTCCAGACGATGCGAAATGGTGAGTTGTTGGTCTGGTCCAACAACCGATCTTTCAAACAGTTTCGCATTTGGTAAGTCCAGGGAGGAGGCATGCTTGCAAATAGTCAATCTAAATATTAGAAAAACAAAACTTCAGTGTTTATTGGAAAAAAACGTCATCGCATCTGAGAATTCCACTGTGTCCCGGCACAGAAAAATCACATGATATAGCTTGGAATAGTCATGGATTCTAAACTTCTCTACGCGTATCTTCAACGCCAGCCTGCAATGATTGCTCATTTACTAAGTGTGCGCATTAATCTTGTTTTGCGAGTCGTGTCAAAGCAGGAAGGATTTTCTGGTGATCACTCTTTAGGGTCCACTAATTCGAATGTAATGTTTCATCCACTGTTAATATATGCATAGACATTATGAAAGACCAAAGTTGAATGAAATCCCTACATTACCCTCTAAAGTTTGCAAACACCTCGGGGGAGACTCAAATTGTTCAAACAAAAATGGATTACGGTATTCTGACCTGCTACTTTTCAGTAGTATGAGAAATTTCGTGAAAAATGAGCTGAATACTTCGTGTTTGAGATAATTTATAGCTTCTTTGGAGAGTACAATTTGTTAGAGTGGTTCCACGGAGCGCGTATTACTTGGGGCACAGGCTGTTTCGAAGAGACAAGTTTACCTATCTTGTCACCATGCCTCATGTCGATATTGAACTTCAGGTATATCTGTATGAAAGACAGATTTCTGCAATATCACATGATTCATCCTGAGAATTTTGGCGCGATTTTGAAAGATCATTTATCCTTACTATACCCGCAATCCATACTTTCCTTTCTCAGAGATGAATGCCCTATTGGTGAACGAATCCAAAGGACTGAGTAATTGGAGAGTTTTCATCAAACGCCATGGGACGGACCAGTTCACAGTTCTGTCCAGTTATATAAAATCCAGATGATAACCCCGTTTAGTGACACATCATCTATGGTTCTTATCCAGTTAGTGAAAGGCAAAGACCGACTGGTAATCAGTCGCCCAGTGGGACGTCGAGCACTCTTTGATCCGCTTGGTATACAATATGAAATCACTGTGAATAAACATCATCATTTCTGGTTTTTTTAATCCTCTTAAAAGGGTGGCTGCAGGCTAATTTAACTAGCTATCCAATATCTTTGAACAGTCTCTCAATGACCTTCAAAACTAGTTTTTTTCAACAGTACAGAAAGAAGGAATATGTCCCATGTAAATTCATCAACTGCCGAAGGTGAAACACTCAAGCTATGTATACGAAGTAGTCAGAAGAAATTTAAAGGATACACAAATAGAAATAGGGTTTTGTTTCATGTAATCATGATTACAGCAACGCAAAGGGCTGGTTATTTCGCTTGGATCAACGTAGCCCGACTGATTGACAGAAGTTTGCCCAACGACATTCGAAAAAAGATTCGGACGGCTTTTATTCACGTTCTACTAAGTAATAACTAGTCCGCTGGGAAACTGGTACATAGAAGAAAATAGGCTGACAGTGTCTGAACATGTATTAAGACTAGCTGGTCACAAACAGAGATACTGTGGACGAAAAAACATGCGCTGCAGGTATATAACTGATAGACAGTCGTCTCGGTCACATGCAAGAAGAAGGCAATCATTATGAGGACTCGTGTAAACTGGCTAGTAAAGATGGAAATACTAGTCTGTAAGATTTAAAGAGGGTTTGTGTGACTCAGTGAAGCGTGACTGCGATGCAATGAGGAGTCCATACCTTCCTAGTTTCGTCCATTCGAAAAGAACTTAACTAATCATTTCACACTGTCCCAATCGCCTTAATCTTCCAGGTGGTGGTTGAATACTGTTCAGCTTACATAGTCAAAATTGTGGCGTCTGGTTTCTCATTTTCTAATTTCCCNGGTTTCTCACTGTGCTAAGTTCCCTACACTTTCAAGCTTGATAACGAAGTTAAAATACACACATCAGTTGGTAAACCGGAAGAAAGAAAAAAGTACTGTAATGAACCAATAAAAACGATCATAATAATATATTTCCTTTTTTCGTTCCAATGAAGTCAATAAGGTTTGCTTGATACCGGCTGTGATGCTATGTCCCAATTACTCATTGTCCCAGCACAGCCAGCGAGCGTGAAATTGGGATGTCAGGAACTGTATTCTTCTGACCTCGAGCAGTAAGAAACAAGAAGCATTTATAAGATCGGCGTACAGCAACAAAGCGCAAGGGAAAGGGACACTGTACTTAAAGAACGGGAGATGTAAAGACAGTTTCAGAGCATGAAAGAGTTTCTGGTCAGTACCTCCCTCTGGCACAAGGCTGATAGCTTCGGGTTGCATAGTATAGTTCAACAAAGTGTTAAAAATCTCACCCAATTACCCGGTCACTTGTAGAAGGGTTGGAGCTGGTTGTAAGTTGGTTGTCAATTAACTCGTTCGTCACTGCCTTCCAAGCTGATAACCCCAGTGTTTCTGACAACCTGATGCTTTCCTTGGATGTAAACTCGTCATTCCAAGTGCATACTTGTTAGAGATCGTCAACTTTATTTTTGCAGTCGCGAACAGGACCAAAACCTTTTGTTAACTCGAACAAACCCAGTTAGATATAGATAACGAGCAAATAGTGTAGATCCATGCCATTGTGATCATTTATGATCACAGTTGAATGTTTAACTTTTATAATTCAAACGTATTTTGATGTACAACTTAGATTGATCAGACCAACTCGTCGTGACAGCTTGCTCGCTCTTTTTAATTCCACACACCGTTATTATGCTTTACAAGCAAAAGGGGAAAAGGTTATCAGTCACCATCCTTGGAAGTGATGTTAAGGCGTGATGACTCAGGTACGCTTAATCGGAGTGGGCGCAGAGAGGTCAGTTGATTTGGTTGGTACACTTCCATTCTTTTTCATACTGGGAGGTAAAAGTAATCTGGTACACAGTTTTGCCGATCAAGATTCATCTACAGCCCGGGTTCCTTGAGAACGAAAATAAGTGCTATCCTTGATAAAAATAACTACATGGAGATCATTTTCCGCACACATTTTTGGTGAGGATGAGCTGCTTAATTCTAAAACATAGCAACAAAAGAATAGCTGATTATGTCGCTCCGGTTTGGTTTTTCAAAGGCTCCCAATGGCCATCACCAAGTTGCTTTCAGTTGTGTAAGCGACACACAATACTAGTATTCCTGGATTTCCGAGGCGCATTCGACTCGGTTGATCGGTCTGTTCTTCTTGAGACGCTTGCTCACCAAGGAATGCCCCGGAAGTTTGTAAACACAATACGTTCTTTGTATTCTCAGACTTCCGGAGGTGTGAGAGTGTACACAGGGCTCTCCAAGAGCTTCCGCACACAAAGCGGTGTC